TCAATATGATACTCCGTTTTGATGATTTGAGATACTATGACTTATGTTTTGATGAGATGATTTTAATAAGTATGGAGTATTTATGATTTAAAAATGAAAATTTTGGTCATGATTTTAGGGATGTTTCAAGTTGGTATCAGAGCGTTGGTTTGAGGGATTTGGACACACTCTCGGGTATGTCTGAACTCAAACTGAGGACTTGGTAAAAAAAAGGAAATCATTTTTATAAAAGTGTTTTTAAAAGAGAAAAGGGTGTGGTGCATGCAACCAGCCGAGCTCAAGTAAGTTCTCCCAAATTACGCATACATGTTTGTTATGGTATGATATGATTATGATAATTGCATTCTAGATTAGGGCTAAGGATCTAGGAATGATGACTTGTATGCCTACTGTATGTGCTTATTGAAATGCATGTTAGTACTAATTACTCAGTGATATGATGGCATGATTAGGATATGCTTGGTTTGGATTACTCAATGCTTGAATGTTGCTTGCTTCGTGCTTTTAGGAGTTCTAGCTATCTTTAACTAACTAGTAAACGAATATGCTAAGTTATATATTATGACGACTAAATAATTTCAGAAGGTTAGGTTTAGCCTTATTTTGTAGCTCTCGTTTGAGTCCAACCGTTGTAGGGAGAGACCTCTCATTCGAAGAATTATCTGGTCATAGTAATATGTAATGGTATTCACGAGCTAGTTAGGGAAAGGTAGGAGGGACTTCTTATGCAGCTGATGACGGAGAGTGGGTTGGAGATTACCCTAGGGCAAGCCTATGATGAGATTAGTGCTGGGAGCAGTAGTATTGAAAGGGACTTAGTGGAGTCAAGGCAATTCTTGAGGAAAGTACGGATAGATGTGGAAGGTAGTATGGGCCCGTACTACTGAAAGTAGAGGATCCGTAATCGATTCAAGGAGGGCTGCGATGACACCAGAAAACTTATAGTGTGTGTGTGATCACTCGATATTGATGAGTATTCGGATGGTTGTTATGGTATGTTTCCACCATGGTGACACTACGTGATAGGCCAATTGGCAGTTATGGTGTCGACGAGGGATCTGGCTCGGGCTCTGGAGCCGGGCAGCTTGATGATCAGATGAGGGAGTTCATTTCATCTGGGATTACGCGCAATATCATTTACCCGACTCCTGTGATCTTCGGTGCGGTCAAGGAGGGCATTTTGGAGATTCTTGATGAGAGGCTGAGCATATTCCACACTAAGATGGCGGCCAAGATGGGGATGCCTATGTTGATGTTTCGGGAGTTTAGATCTTGTGGAGCTCCAGATTATCATGAGGCTAGGGACCCCATTGCTAGAACCAGGTGATTAGAAGATATTGCCAACGCTTTTTGTACCAGTCGTTGTCCCGAAAGGGACAAGGTCCGACTTGCTTCCTGCCTCTTGAAGGACAGGGGACGTGATTGGTGGGAAGAGGTTGGTAGTGAGTTGGGTGATGATGCGGTTGATGTTGTGATATGGGATGATTTCTCGACCGGGTATCTAGTGGAATTTGCTCCGAAAATCGAGGTGCAGCAGTTGACACGAGAGTTTTTGGGTCTCCGCTAGACTACTGAGGCTGTGGCAGAGGTCACTGCCAAGCCCCATGAGAGGGATTTGTTTGTATCGCAGTATGCAGTAGATGAATAGATGAATAAAGTAAGGAATCATGATATGTTGCGGGATGATATCAGGGAGTTCGTGAATAATTCGGGGTGCGAGACCCTGAATGATATGATTTCTAGAGCCCGTAAATGGGAGATAGATTTGGAGCACATTGGTGGGGGGGGGGTTTAGACCAGGTGCAGATATTGGAGAGTCTCGAGAAGAGACCCAAGATTTCTGACGAGCGCATGAAAGGCCAGCAGGTGCGCAATCTGTGTAGAACGTGAAGGAAACTGCACGATGGGACTTGTCGTTCCAGAAGTTTGGACTGCTACAAGTGTGGCAAATTTGGTCATGTTAGCAGGGATTGTCCTCAGGGGGCAAGCCCGTTATGTCTCATCTACGAACAGGTGAGCCACAAGAAGGTCGACCGTCCGATGTTGAGGGAAGGAGCAGTGCGTGTGCCTGCTCCGGCTACTTTGAAAATCACCAATGGACGAGAGGGTAGGGCAGGAGCTCAATAGAGAGGAGTCAGGTTTTGCAGTGTCAGACAGAGGAGGTCAGGACTCCAGCAGGCGACATTGCAAGTATGTTATTTGTTGCTTTCTTCATGGTTTTATCAGTATGTACGTTATTCTGGAATCTTGCATCGCTTGGGGTAAATATATAGTTGGGTTACTTCTCTGCTTATGTTGGGGTTATATCTTCATGAAGTGTTATATGCCATTTGCATGCCATGAATCGTTAGTAGGTTAATATAGGGTTGTATCTCGTATAGCGAGTTCCAAGTGTTCGGTTGTTATCTTGGGTTAGGACCGAGATCGGTTCAAGTGCTTTAAGCGAAGGAATTATGGTTAGGATTCAGCAACTTAGTCTTCTAGTATCGCCAGGATTCGGCAGTCGTAGTATTTGTGCTTGGGATGGCTTTCGGAATTGCCGAGAAAAGCGGGTGTCACAGAGGATTTGGTTGGAGCACCCGTTCTTTGGATTTCGAGAATCTGAGCGTGATATCATTTCAAGGCACTGGAGTCAAAAGCATTGCTGGGATTCGAAAAGCATTCATCTAGTCTTCGGTAATTGTGCGGTCTTTGGAGTGGGCTAGTAATGGCTCGCTAGCACTGGTAAGCGCAGCTTGTCGACCGTTTGATTATTAGAGAGTAAGAAGGATTAGGATTCCTTCAATTCTCATTTGCGATGAAGACTTAGTCGAATCAAAATGGGGGAGGATCGATCAGGTATTCAAAAAGCAGAATTAGGTGTGAAACTAGGATGAGTTTCGCATCCCCGTCAGGGAGGAAGGCGGTCGAGTGGCCATCTAGATTGAGGATTGTGTGAGTTGGGAGTTCGGGAAACTTTCTAACATTTGGTTCGCGTTTTCTTGGCATCGGATGGCGGGCTTCGGGGACTCAGGATGGGGTTCCAGTCATAAACTAAGTTCGGTTGGGAGTGGGTCAAGCGCGTGTGAGAATCTGGATGGTGTTCGGATAAATAGATTAGCAGTAAGTCATTGGGCGGCATATGTGGTAGTGCTAGAGTGTTGTAAGACTGCGGGTGTAGTCATATCATTCACTAGGTTGGTAGATAGCATGGGAGTGTTGTTAGATCGCGAGGAGAACCGTAGCACCCACCAGTTCTGGTGCGACGGTGAGAACGTGGCAAATCCATGAATTGGTTTACGAATTTCACCAAATGAATTAGACCTGGTTAAGCCAGTGATAAGACCATAGGAACACCACTGTTTTCATGGTATCAAGGGAGCGATGGACCGTATAAGTTCGTTTGTGATACAAGGCTACCTTTGGTCATGTAGTATTCACTTTTAGCCTTGGATTTGGTGACGTCAGGATTCGACGTATGAACCCGATCGGTTGGATCAGGAGGTCGTTAGAGCCACAGTGGCAAGACAATTGATGGCAACTATTGACAGATGAGGATTACGTTCGAAAGTCGTGTGGAGCGACTGTGTGGGAGTCTTTTGTCTTAGCAACCAGGCTGGAACCCGGTACTTCAGATGACTGGCAGACGAATTGAGACCAGGGAGGTCTCAGTGGATTTTGGAAAGCAGCCAGGAAGCAGCATGCTATTTCGGACAGCTCCAGTGCTTCGAGCAATATCCGGTCATGTTAGACCGAAGGGGTAGGTCGAGCACCCAGATATGCACGGCAGTATCCGGTTGAAATAAACTGAAGGGGTTGGTCGAGCACCCAGATATGCTCCGCAGTATCTGGTTGAAATAGACCGAAGGGGAGGCCAGCACCGAGATATTTTTCGCAGTATTAGTGTTTTAGGATTTGATGTATGGATGGGTAGCTGATTACTTGGGTAATGCTAAGTCACTCACAGCGGGTTTAAATAATCTCATAGTAAATGATTTGACCTTGTTGCGTAGCTCTCGTCTGAGTCTAATCGTTGTAGGGATGAGTCTTCTACTTGAAGGATTTTCTAAGTCTTCTGTCAAGTATAAGTGTTATGCAGGGACTTTTGGTCTGTGATTCAGTTTTCTAGTGGGAACCTCAAGTTTTTAGAACTTGAGTAGCCAGTTGATAGATAGGTGCAATGGGTTCGATAGTATTTCAGTATGGACGGTCTGTCAGGGAGTCAGACCATCTCGAAACTTCAGCTTTTAGATTGAGTAAATGTGATCATGTTGAAAGGAATTTGTTCATCTTCGGGTTTTAGAACCCTGCGAGGGTTGGTTCCGGTTGCCTTAGGAAGTCTAGGGTATGCTCGGGACAGTGGCTATGTCGCTCAAGTTGCTTAGCGTGACAGGATGGTAAGGAACAATTTGGAGGACTGAAGACACGCCCCTCAGAGTGGGCCAAAAGTAAGAGAGCCCCCGGCAAGGAATTCCCATTGAGGCCTGACCGAGCCCGACTCGGCCACCTCGGCCAAGTCAGGGACTCTAGCGGGGCGACCGCGCAAAAGCCTCGCCCTCGCTAAACGTCGTCCTTCGCTACAGTCCAAAGATAATGGCTCCAGGCGACAAGGAGCACATCTAGAGCATTATCGTCTGGACCAATCATTAGCTCTGACACTACGAGGAACACGACTCACCAATGAGGACGGTGGATCTTGTCGGGATCGCAGTCATTGTCCCTCATGCGGATCGAGGAGGATCCTCAGTATAAAAGGACGTTCACCCTGCCTTGATGGGTAATCTATTCTTCCCGAATCCTCTGCCCTCACACTGATTCACTCTACTGACTTGACCGTTGGAGCGTTTTTACGGGACCTCCTCCCGGAGAGTGGCTGACGGCTTTCCTTTCCTTGTGACCTTTCAAGTTTCCTTGCGGCGATCATCACCAGCAGATTGGGTGGTCGGAGACCAGGTCGAATCATTTGGCACCATCCGTTTGTGTGACAACAGATACACAAACCCTTTCTTTTTCTATTTAACCTAGCACATGACAAACAACACGACTGGCGAACCACCGTAACCACCGCACAGCCCAATACGCCCGATAGCGTCGTTTGAAGCGGCCAACACTCCAACAGCGCCATCATCCGGTGGCCCACCACCTCCCATTATAGCAGCGCCATCATCCGGTGGCCCGCCACCTCCTCCTATAGCAGTGCCATCATCTGGTGGCCCGCACCTCCTATTATAGCAGCGCGCATCATCCGGTGGCCCGCCACCTCCTCTTATAGCAGCGCCATCATCCGGTGGCCCACCACCTCCTCTTATAGCAGTGCCATCATTCGGCGGCCCGCCACTTTGTCTCGCAGCAACCATGCCGCCTGTTGTAGCCGAGAACCAAACACCACTACCCACACTGACTTACACAACTCCTCCACCATTCCCAAAGAGCGACGTACCCAATCCGTACATTGTGCCCCTTCTGTCACCGTTTTTTCCTAACACCATCGGATTTAACAACACTGGTCACAGCCCTCTACCACCATCGGTCCAAACCACCAACGACTCACAACAAACAACCCCCATAGCACTACCGGTAAACGAATTGCCTACATACACACATGCAGCACCGACGAACAACACCACAACTGGCCCAAGCATCATATCACAACCACAAAACCACCCGCCATTGGTGACGGACACTGTGCCAGCGTAGCCATTCACGCCTTACCAACAAATACCCATGGCCCACACACTCCACATCCCGTTTCAGCCGTCAAATTTCTACGGCCCAGCAACGCCAGCCCTTACTGCCTACAACAACATGCTAGTACAGCCCTTATTGGCAATGCCACAACCAGGGTGGCACTTTGTTTAGCGGACACCAAACCAAGATTGCCTTTTACGAAGTGTCACGTCGTCGTTCATCAAAGAACTGCTTGAATACGACATCCCAAACACCGCCAAACTGCCACACCTCAAAACATACAACGACACCACAGACCCAGACAACCACATTGACACATACGAGTCGACCATGACATCTCTCAAGCTAGACGAACGGTTCTGGTGCACATATTTCCCCACCACCCTAGACGGCAACGTCAGAACGTGGTTCAAGACGCTGCGCCCGGGCAGCATCAACAACTTTAGCCAACTGCAATATCTCTTTCTAACCAACTTTATGCAACTCCGGAAGTATAAGGGTGATTGTCACTCCATCATTGGATGAAAGCAAAGGGAGGGGGAGACAGTCAAGGACTATTTCGCCAGGTTCACCAAGGCAACACTAGACGTCCCAAGACACGATGAGGGGTTGATCGCGGGAGCGTTCACTTGGGGATTATTACCAGGTTCGCTATCTCAGAAGCTCATGGGCAAGCAACCCTAGTCAAGGGCAGAACTAAAGGAGCGAGTGGAACGATTCTTACGCCAAGAAAAGGGCGAAGCATCGAAGCAAGCATACCTCAACGCCATGTCTTCCTCAGCCGGGAAGCGACACCACCAGTCTACTCCCCACCATGACTCTCGAGGAGGAGGAAGGTTCTCGGGACGAGATAGACCATCACAGGGAAGCTTCATACCTTTCATCAAAGACGAGAGGCGGGGGAGACGAGCAGAAGTCTACACTGTCACCGGAAAACCAGCAACAAAGGGCACTAAGACGCGGTACTGCGAATACCATAAAAGTAGGACACACGATACAGTCAATTGCTCAGTTTTAAAAAAGGAAATAGAAGAAAAGCAACTGAAGGGGAACGTGATAGAAATTGCCAAGAGTCTACGGGCCAAGTTCGATGCATAAAATCCCAAAGACGACACTGGGAGAGCAGATTACAGGCAAGAAATCCTCGTAATCCACCATAAAAGGGGGATAGCGGAGCACACGACCAGTGTACGCAGCAACACGGAAACCATGCAAGGGCTAATGTTCTCCATGACCAACCCAAGCCCAGCTGGTTGGAAAGGGGATAACCCCCTTGTCATCCAGGGGTCCATTCGAGACATCATGATCCACCGGGTGTACGTCGACACGGGAGTCTCTCCAGACATCATCTATGAGCATTTCTTCCGACTGCTGCCAAATGTACGGAAGGAAGGACTAAGACCAGCTGCAGGTCAACTCACATGGTTCACAGGACATAGCCTGTGGCCCGTAGGTACGATTCACTTGCCATTTACGTTAACCAGTCAAGACAAGACCAAGCAACGGACCGCCCTTGTAGATTTTGTGGTCATACGACACCAATCCAAACACAACGTCATATTAGGATGAACAGCCCTACTAAAGTTTGGAGCAATCTCATCAACAATCCACGGAATAGTGAAATTCAGCACAAGCCGAGGCCCAGGGACAATCCTTTCCACCCCTCCAAGGGAGCTCAAATGCTACGAGATCATGCAACCAAAAGACATCTCAGCCGAGGCCAAGAGACTGAAGCCGGATCCGTCAAGTGGAGGGGAAGTAATTAACAGAGAATACCCAGACCAACAAATAAACATGGGAACGACCCTTCCCGAGGTGACAAGGCAAGCGCTGGTTCAACTATTACAAAAATACAAACATGTGTTCGCCTAGACACCCACAGACATGGTGGGGGTCGACCAGGGGATCATAGAACACAAGTTAATGATAAAAACAGGGGCCAAAGAAGTGAAACAGAAGAAGCAAGTCAAGAGAGGATATCAAAACAAGGCGATTAATGCAGAAGTGGCAAAGTTGACCATCGCGGGGATCCTTAGGGAAGCGATTTTCCCCACATGGATCGCCAACCCAGTAATGGTAAAGAAGCATGACGGTAGCTGGCGCATGTGTATCGAGTATTCAGATCTCAATAAAGCGTGTCCCAAGGATTGCTACCCACTACTGGAGATAGACCAGAAGGTAGAATCCCTACAAGGTTTCTAGTGGAAGTGCTTCTTGGATGCATACAAAGGATATCACCAAATCCTGATGAGCAAGAATTATGAAGAAGAAACAGCCTTTTACACGGATCACGGCGCCTTCTGCTATACAATAATGCCATTCGGATTAAAGAATACCGGAGCAACTTACCAGCGACTGGTCGACTCCCTGTTTTCTAGTCAAATCGGCAGGAATATCGAAGTTTATGTTGACGACATGGTCATCAAGAGCCCAGACGAGCGGAGGTTATTGTCCGATGTGGAGGAGACACTGCAAACTTCGGAGAAAGCTCAGATGAAGTTGAACCCAACAAAGTGCACCTTCGGGGTAGAAGAAGGACAGTTCCTGGGATATTACATGACAAAGGAAGGAATCCAACCAAGCCCAGCCAAAATCAGCAAGCTCGAAGAGACACCCTCACCGAACACACTAAAAGACGCCCAAGGGCTGAACGGAAAACTAACGGCGCTCAATCGGTTCATCTCTAAGTTAGCCGAGAAAGCCATGCCCATGTTCCATACACTCAAGGGGTGCATAGAGAAGAACAACTTCCGATGGACACCAGAGGCCGAATCCGCGCTACAAAAGATAAAAGAGGCATTACACACGCTCCCCACTTTAGCCAGCCCAATACCAGGCGAGACGCTGTAGGTCTATCTATCTGCATCAAAGGATGCTATTTCGTCAGTGCTAGTAGTCGAAAGGCAAGGGAGGCAACTCCCGATCTACTTCGTGATTCGGGCCCTACAAGGGACAGAAGTTAATTACCCAATCATCGAAAATTTGGTGCTCGCATTAATCTATGCAGCACGGCGACTCCGTCGGTATTTCCAGGCCCACCAAATAGAGGTATTAACTAGTTTCCCGATCAAGCAGGTACTCTTAAAGCTAGTGACATCCGGACGCCTCGCAAAATGGTCCATAGAACTAGGAGAGCACGACATTAGCTACCATCCTAGGATGAGCATTAAAGGGCAGGCATTGGCAGATTTCCTGTTGGAAATCCCAGGGGAAATCCAGCAAGAAATGAGCGGCACAACCCAACAAAGAGACCAAGAAGAAAAGACTGATCAGCAGTGGACCCTCTACACGGATGGAGCTTCCAGCAAGGAAGGCTCGGGTGCAGGATTAATCCTGACCAGCCCCACGGGTGAAGAAATCACGTACGCTTTGCATAAAGCAGATCTCGAGGGGAAGTAATAGACAGGCAGATGCCCTCAGCAAGCTTGCATCAACATGTTTTGGGCATCTCTCTAAGGAGGTCCCGGTGGAGGTGTTAAAAGAGAGGAGCATCGACGAGCGCCAAGTCGATTCCCTGTCTACAGCACAACCTAATTGTATGAAGCCCATCATAGATTACTTGCAACACAGCATACTTCCATACGACCACGGAGAGGCACGAAGAACGAGGATACGAGCCCCCCAGTACGCGATCTTAGGAGGAGAACTGTATAGAAAAGGCCACACGGCCCCGTGGCTCAAATGCATAGATGGCGAGTCAGCGAAAAAGGCCCTAAAAGAAGCCCACGTGGGATCGGCTGGATCCCACGAGGGAGCATGGGCACTCACAAGCAAAGTACTACGCATGGGACTCTATTGGTCGGACATACATCAGGATGCCATCGAATTAACTCGGAGGTGCATAGAATGCCAAACCTTCTCGCCGACGCAAGGAGTACCCCAACCTAGTTGACGAGCATAGTCAGTCCGTGGCCTTTCTATCAATGGGGAATCGACATCGTCGGCCCCTTCCCAGAGGAACCAGGGAAGGTGAAGTTCCTAGTCGTGGCGGTTGACAATTTCACGAAACGGATAGAAACCGAACCATTGGAATGCATCACTAGAAAACAAATGATTAAGTTCATGTGGAAGAACATCATAACGGGGTTTGGGACACCCAAAGCCTTGGTCAGTGACAACGGGCTACAGTTCGCTGAGAACCCCTTTAGAAATTGGTGTGTCGAAAGAGGAATAAAGAAAAGGTTCACGTCAGTAGCGCACCCCCAAACCAATGGACAAACAGAGGTGTCTAATCGGACGCTGGTGAATGGAATCAAGAAGCGGTTGGGCAAAGCAAAGGGTAGTTGGGTAGATGAGCTACCAGAAGTCCTTTGGTCATATCGAACCACACTGCAGACCAGTACAAAGGAAACACCATTCAGCTTGGCCTATGGAGCCGAGCAATGTTACCAGTGGAAATAATGATAGGCTCGATACGGACAGAATACTGCCAGGAGCAAGCAAACAATGAGAACCTAAGGGAAAACTTAGACCTCTTGGAAGAACGGCGAGAACGCTCGAGCATGCGCCAAGCCGCTTACAAAAGAATTGTAGAGAGATACTACAACCAAGAACGGCGAGGACAAGGCTTTCCGGGTCGTGGATTATGTACTACAGAAGAACGAAGTCAACCACGAGCAGCCTCGCGGAAAACTAAGCCAGACGTGGGAAGGACCATACAAGGTGGTGG